TTATATATTAAAAAAGTCCAGAAGAAAAATGACCATCTGCTTACTTAACAGACTAAAACTAAGTTCGGACTTTCACTGATGGTCACCCATATTAGGTAGCATTTGTTCAGTGCACACGAGTGTCAATGCACACGAGTGTGCAACCATTTCCCTGACAAGTTGAATGATGTTCCAGCTGAGTGGACTATCCAGTGATACATGCATTTTGGAAACTAATAACATAAACATTACATCTAACCCTATTAATTTTCAAGCATTTTAAAAGACCCTTTTCTTAAAAAAAAAAAAAAAAGTAAACCTCAGGTATTTTTTAGAGTCCATCAAGCTTCCAAAGAGTTGACCTTTTTAAACTAAAATTATTTCTTTCAAATGGGTTCTAACTAACTTATGAAGATAACTAAAACAAGGACTAGTTTTTTAAGCTTTTAAAATAAAACTAAGATGAAAAATTATCACTAAACAGACATATTATTGAAACTTTTATACAGCTGCATTAGGGCTTCCCAGGTGTTATAGTGGTAAAGAACCCGCCTGCCAATGCAGAAGACATAAAAGACACAGGTTTGGTCCCTGAGTCGGGAATATACACTGTAGGAAATGGCAGTCTGCTCCAGTATTCTTGCCTGGAAAATTCCATGAACACAGGAAACTGGTGGGCTACAGTCTAAGTGCTCCAAAATGTCATGAGACAGCTTTGAAGAAGAACATCTGACAAACTTTGGGATCTCGCAGCATCCTAATCTTTAATTAGGAGCAAAAACCTGTAAAAGACGTGATGAGCTATTACATACAACCTACTTGTATGTAAAAAATAAGTTAAATAACTTGTAAGTTAAAAAATAACAAGTTTGTCTGAAAAGGTTCTGTGAAGCCCCTAATATATTAGCCCTGTGATTTGCTATCATTTAATTCATACTTGCACAGATAACTGTATAAGACAAGTATTATAAAAGAATAAAAATGAAGCAGTCCATGTGATGGGAACTGGCAGTAAGATATATTTTCAGGCAATAGCTTGTTTTCCTGGCTATTTCGATTAGGTTCTCTTCTCAGTCAGACTGGATTTGTTCTTTAGTCAAATCTGCCAACCAACATAGTTAATGTTGTAGTGAAAAAGAAAAAGAATGGGTTGACATCTGTTATAATTTAACTACCATATTCAGACACAGCCATCATACCGCTTGATTACACGGATGATAAAGAAGTCAAAGAAAACACTAGGACAACTTTGTAACTGGTTAACAGACTGTTTTGGGCTTTCCTGGTGGCTCAGCGATAAAGAATCTGCCTGCATTGCAGGAGCTACAGGAGACACGGGCTTGATCCTTGGGTCGGGAAGACCCCCTGGAGGACGGCATGGCAACCCACTCCAGCATTCTTGCCTGGAGAATCCCATGGACAGAGGAGCCTGGCGGGCTACAGTCCATAGAGTCTCAAAGAGTTGGATACCACTGAAGTCACTCAGCATGCACACAACAGACAGTTTTAAAGAAAAAAAGAGAACTTGGTGAAAAGTTTTATCTAAATTTTTCACTTTGAATTTCTTCAGTAATCCACCTGAGCTTCCCTTGTGGCTCAGCTGCTAAAGAATCCGCCTGCAATGCAGGAGACCTGGATTTGATCCCTGGGTTGGGAAGATCTGGAGAAGGGAAAGGCTACCCACTCCAGTATTCCTGGAGAATTCCATGGACCGTATCGTCCATGGGGTCAAAAAGAGTCAGACACGACTGAATGACATTCACTTTCACGGTTCAGTAATCTATGGGAGAAAAAGCAACAGAGAACCCTTCAAGAGCACGGACTTGTTAGTAGTAAAAAAACCCCCAAAACTGGGGTTTTGAAAAATGGGCATTAGAGGTGAAAGGAAGAAAAAAGAGGAAATGTGAAAATTGCAAGGTAATTTCAATCACTTCTGTTTCACTTGCAACATTTCTAGTAATGTTCTAAGTACTTGATACCCATTTACCCTCAAAATTACACTGAGGTGGGTATAATGATGATTATAACCACTGTATGCGTCAGGTAACTGAGTCACAAAGAAGATAAATAAGCTCCATGAGGCCACACAGGCGGCAGGTGACACAGCAGGAGCCTGGACTAGGCAATGTGGTTACGTGGTACATCCAAACCACCGTTGCATGCATTCTCTCATTTCACCCCTACAACATTATGTGCCAGATAACAGCATCTCTAAGTTAGACACAGAGACCGAGTCCTGAAGCACCATGAATTTATCAGATGGTAGTGGAGCTGAGATTTCAAGTGAAGGGTTTCAGACTCTTAAAACCCGAAGGAACAGAGGCACCAAGATAAAGTTTCTCACCTGTACTGAGAGGTACGTGGCCTCTGTGGTCTTTACAAAGCTCATACAAGATCACAGATGAATCTTACTCATGGATGGGGAGAGTTTGTTCTACTCACTACAGGGAATTTCTGTAGTCCATGACGTATGTGAGGGCATTCTGTACATTCTCCCATGCAACAGTCATCACACTTAATAAACCACTGTGGGACTTTCCTGGTGGTCCAGTGGTTAAAGTAGAGATTGAACATAGATTCAATCCCTGGTCTGGGAAGATCCCACATAACTCAGAACAACTAAGCCCGAGTGCCACAGCTATAGAGACCTTGCACCTGCAGCCAAGCTCTGTGACAAGAGAAGTCATCACAATGAGAAACGCGCGCACCACTGCTAGAGAGTAACCCCTGCTCGCCACAGCTAGAGAAAAGCCTGCTCGGAAACGAAGACCCAGTGCAGCCAAAAATAAATAGAAATTAATAAATAGATAAATAATTTAAAACCTCATTGCTTAATATCTGATTCCCCATAGACTTGCAAGCTCTGTGCATCTGCTGACAACATACTATGTACCAGAGAGGCATAGTACTAGGAGTTTGAAATATGTCAGAAGATAAAATAAAGATCCTTAACTTTTGCCTATTTAGCTTTGCACCATGCGCACCTCACAGAGAGTCTGGCACCCACTGATTCTCAATAAATATTTACTGGATGAATAAATGGATCAATTAGGAGGGGTAGGTAGAAATAAAGAAAAGCTATAGAGAAAAGGAAATATTTGGATTTAATCTATTACCTCAGATCTTTATTAAAATCTTAATATGCATTTGATTAATCAGGATGACCATTTAAATTATTTAACTTATCTTTAAAAGCAGAAATCTACATTTTAATTCCAAAAGCAAACTGTGTCTGGGTTCTGAAGGAGGACACACGTGTCAGGATGCAGCACTCTCTTCTCTGTCAAACTAAAATTTTCAGTTGTTTCCCAGAACTTAGCTTGTGTTTGTGTTCACTGATTTTCAAAAGGTGACTTTCCAATGCAAGTCTTCTCCCAGTAATTAGAGGCGTTTATCTTAAAGCTTATCCGGGTTTAGCAAGGAGGTTACAGGCTGTCATCCGCATTGTTATTGACTCCCTCAATTATAGGCAATGGCATTTCACCTCCATGCAAAATATTAGTAAATTAACAATCCCCACTCTGCATTCATTTGGGAAATCTCCTCTGATTGTGATGACGAACGTGACAAGCAGGGAGTAATCAGAGACATTCCGGTAATAACTTTAAGCCTTGCAAACATCAATTAAAACTCTGGCTCTGCAGCTTGCTGTTGGAGTTTGGTCTGCAGGGTAAATTTCTATTTTCATGACACAGTGCAGAGGGCAGCATTGGTAATTTGCAGGAGAAGCAAGCAACAACCTCAATACAAAAGAGCCAGAGAAACATCCACTCTGATTTTCTTGATTCTTTCATATCACTCAAAGTCTCTTTTAAACCATAACATGAACTCTGGCATTGTGAACAATTTTCAGATCAGATTTATAATTCTCTGACATGACAACTTTGACTCAAAGGGCAAATTCTAAAAAACATTTCTTTATAGTGCTAAAAACACTGCAAAGGGATTATTATTCAAATGTCATGACTGTCTCTTTCAATCGGGGGGCATTTTAGGCTAATGTAGAGATTTTTTTAGCACAGTAATTGTTAGGTCATAGGAGCTCTGTGGATGAGCTTCACAGTAGATTTACCTAAAATTTATGAAAAACACCTTATGTGCATTTTATTGTATTGAGAGTGTCACTTTCATCAGATTTTCACAGGGGCTTGTAACTCCAGTAGTCAAGAATCTTTGGTCCCATGAGAAAGAGCTAAGGGCTGAGGAGAGGGTGCTGCCAAGGTCTGCTTCCTCCAAGGAGAACCCTGGAGCTGCACTGGTTTTAGTGTGTTTTGCAAAATGCCTCAGCTGGCCAATGATCCTCTGTCTCCTCTGTTCCATACTTGAACCTCTGATGTTGCGGGGATCATACATTTAGCTGAGACTTCACCTCCGCTTCCCTGTATTCTAATAGTTGTACAGACTAGTGGTTCAGCTTCATCCTTCTTTGGCACATTCATTATCATTACTCACAAAACAAACTATGAAAAAATTAATATTTGCGTTGTATAATGGAGCAGAAAGAGCAATGCCTTCCATTTTGAGACAATATCACTTCTTTATGACAAGTCAAACACATTTTTACAGGGCCATCAGAATCTTATTTCTTTATGTGGTACACTATGATAAAGTTTAGCTTACAATTTAAGTTTAACATATCAATTCTATTTTTAAGTTGATCAGTTAGTTTTATTAGGTTTTCAAAGACTGAAGAGTTCAGAAACTGGGCAAATGTTACTTAAAATGATAAAAAAATTACTTTAAAATACTTTAAAATTTGGGGACGATAGAATTCTAGCCAAGGTTAAAATTGATCTATTTTTTTTTTTTTTTGGTAAAATCAATTAAAGTGAAAGTATTTTTATTGTTATGCCTTAATAAAGGCAAATCAGGTCAAGATTGCCAATTTTTTTTTTTCATTGAATCTCCACCTAAGAAGAGTATTTTTTTTTAAGTTAAAGGATTTCTAAATGATGACATAGGATAATTAGAAATCTGAAAGATTGTTCTTGTAATGGACAAGTAAAGTACATTTGACTTACTGTCATGATGAGCCCCTTTTCCTGGAAGTATTTAACCAATGGAGCAGCGTTCTGCTTGAAGTTCATCAGTCTCCTTTGGGTAGCTTTCAGATTGTCATCAGGTCGCCCCTGTTGCTCTGCACGCTTCAGTAATCTTTCTTTGAGTCTCTGATTGGCGCAAGCCAGGAACACCACCAAGTCAGGAGTACAGATCTGTGGAGACGGTCAAACAAGCAGACAGGCATTCAACATACCAACCCGTGTGAGTGTGGGCAGAGGCACATTTGCATAGTGCTTTAAATAAATGATCTCCAATTTTTTTTTTACTGTATCCTCATGATAATAAATTATTTGAGCATGTATCCCAATAAATATATACTTATTAATTTATTAATTATAATCATGAGTGCATGATACACATGTGCTCATGTGCTTGTGCTCAGGCATTCAGTGGTGTCTGACTCTTGGGGACCTGACAGACTTTAGCCTGCCAGGTTCCTCTGTCTCTGGGATTTTCTCAGCAACAGTACTGGAGTGGGTTACCATTTCCTCCTCTAGGGGATCTTGCTTACCCAGGGATCGAACCCACATCTCCTGCATCTTTTGCATTGGGGGCAGATTCTTTACTACTGAGCCACCAGGGAAGCCTCATGCTACCCTAATATAGTATGCATGTTGTAAAATACACACAAAAATTTTTAAAGGATTTTTAAAGGATAAGATATGATAATGGTAATATTAGCATTTTCTTCCCACATTACAGTGGTTTGCTTTATATACTCCGGAGACCACTGGTTACATAATGAACCCTGGAGTCTGGGAAACTTGAATTAGAGTTTGTGCCCTAGGATTTACCAGCTGAGCTCTGGGCATATGGCTTATCTTAGCTAAGCCTCTGTGTCTTCATCTGTCAAAAGAGATATATGTACTTCCTCCCTGAGTTATTATAAAAATTAAATAAGATATTGTGTGAAAAAAATAGCACAAACTTGATTCATGGTAGGTGTACAGCAAATTTTAGCCACATTTACTATCTCTTGGTTTTCAGGATTCTATGTTGTTCTGGTTCTCCTTTAACTTTTATTTCCTTTAACTTTTTACTTTGCTGTTTTTTCCCCCTTGCTCAAATTTTTTCCCATAAAAATACAATACTCACAAATAATGATTTCTGAGGCTTAGATTATGTTTTGTTTTGCTTTACCTTTCCAGGTTTTCATTCTCTCAGCTCCCTTCCGCTGCTCTCATTTCAACCACTTATCCTTTGTTGATGGATTCCAAATCTACATTTTCAGCACAGACTTTCAACAGCACTTACATCCTATATTAGCAAATGTTTATATGATGGCTCTACCTGAAAGTTTTAATGTTACTTATGACTCAGCAAGGCCAAATCAGTTCTGGCAACTTTTTACCTAAATGAAATTCCCTTCTTGCTTATATATGTATTTGTTTGTTCCTTTATTTTTACTTTAGTAACACTACTTTCCCGAATCTTTCAATTAGAAGTCTTGTTTTTTAAATTTTTACAAATTTGAATCAAAGATTCTTTAAATTCTATAGTGCTATACAGTTTTCAAAATTTCACAAACATGATTTCATATAATTCCATAATAGCTCCTTTTTAAAATCCCTTCTTTTATATTTCCCCCACCCACTAGTAACCACTAGTTTGTTCTCTATATCTCTGAGTCTGCTTCTTTTTTGTTTTATGCCCTAGTTTGTTCTACTTTTTAGATTCCACCTAAAAGTGATATCATACACTTGACTTTCTCTGTCTGACTTATTTTACTTAACACAATGTACTCCAAATGCATCCATGTTGCTACAAGTGACAAAATTTCATTCTTTTTTATGGCTGAGCAGCATCCCTTGTGTATGTGTATATACAATGAAATGTATACACCCCCCCCCACACACACACATGCATCACGTCTTCTTCACCCATTCACCTGTTGATGGACACTTACGTTGCTCCCATACCTTGATAATTGTAAATAATGTTGCTATGAACACTGGGGAGCCTATATCTTTTTGAATTCTCAGCTAGAAATCTTAATATAATTTCTAACCCTTATCAAAATTTCAGTCTCAGGAAGCCCTCACCACAGATGGTGGATTTTTGTCTTGAAACACGATTCATGTGTCTCTTCCTCCAATTCCCACTGCCACTGTGTAAGAATAGGCGCACACTGGCTAAGTGATCAAGAGCATGAATTTTAGAATCAGATGGTTCTGATTTCATCAGTTCAGTTCAGTTGCTCAGTCGTGTCTGACTCTTTGCGACCCAATGGACTGAAGCATGCCAGCATGTCCATCACCAACTCCCGGAGCTTACTCAAACTCATGTCCATTGAGTTGGTGATGCCATCCAACCATCTCATTCTCTATCGTCCCTTTCTACTCCTGCCTTCAATCTTTCCCAGCATCAGGATCTTTCCCAATGAGTCGGTTCTTTGCATCAAGTGGTCAAAGTATTGGAGTTTCAGCTTCAGCATCAGTCCTTCCAGTGAATATTCAGGACTGATTTCCTTTAGGAAGGACTGGACTGATTTGCTTGAAGTCCAAGGGACTCTCAAGAGTCTTCTCCAATACCACAATTTAAAAGCATTAATTCTTCAGCCCTCAGCTTTCTTTATAGTCCAGCTCTCACATCCATACATGACTACTGGAAAAACTATAGCTTTGATTAGATGGACCTTTGTTGGCAAAGTAATGTCTCTGATTTTTAATATGCTATCTAGGTTGGTCATAGCTTTTCTTCCAAGGAGCAGGTGTCTTTTAATTTCATGGCTTCAGTCACTATCTGCAGTGATTTTGGAGCCCCCCCAAATAAAGTCTCTCACTGTTTCCATTGTTTCCCCATCTATTTGCCATTAAGTGATGGGACCAGATGTCATGATCTTAGTTTTCTGAATGTTGAGTTTTAAGCCAACTTTTTCACTCTCCTCTTTCACTTTCATCAAGAGGCTCTTTAGTTCTTCTTCCCTTTCTGCCATAAGGGTGATGTCATCTGCATATCTGAGGTTATTGATATTTCTCATGGCAATCTTGATTCCAGCTTGTGCTTCATCCAGGCCAGCATTTCATATGATGTACTTATATTCTGCATAAGTTAAATAAACAAGGTGACAATATACAGCCTTGACGTACTCCTTTTCCTATTTGGAATCAGTCTGTTGTTCCATGTCCAGTTCTAACTGTTGCTTCTTGACCTGCATACAGATTTCTTAAGAGGCAGGTAAGGTGGTCTGGTATTCCCATCTCTTTAAGAATTTTCCAGAGTTTATCGTAATCCACACAGTCAAAGGCTTTGGCGTAGTCAATAAAGCATAAGCAGATGTTTTTCTGGAACTCTCTGGCTTTTTTGATGATCCAACAGATGTTGGCAATTTGATCTCTGGTTCCTCTGCCTTTTCTAAATCTAGCTTGAACATCTGGAAGCTCATGTTTCACGTACTGCTGAAGCCTGGCTTGGAGAATTTTGAGCATTACTTTGTTAGCGTGTGAGATGAGTGCAATTGCACGGCACTTGTCATAAGAGTCTGCTATTAGTTGTTTGTCCTTGGACAAATGGTTCAATGTCTCTAAACTTCAGTTTTCTCAACTGTAAGTAAAGGGGAAATCTATCTTATCTCAGTAGTTTAGTATGTCCCATTAAAAAAAAGATTAATTTTTTATTGAAGGATAATTGCTTTACAGAATTTTGTTTCAAAAAACACGTTTAAGTAGCTTTTGAGAAGTGTTAACAATTTAGAAAATCACTTTGTAATTTTTGTATGGTATGTGGTAAAGAGATTATGTTAAATTAAAACTTTTATCTTATCAAATATTAAACTGCAAAATACAAACTTAATAACATTTTTGGTAACATTCAGTCTTGCCCAACATATCATATGATATCCTTTAAATTTACTTTGAATAACCTGCATAAGGGAGAAGATAATTTTTGACAAATAACTTAAAATGATATTATATTGTTCTTGGTTTGGTCATTGTGTATATTAAAATATGGAAAAAGCTTCAACTGCTAGCTCAGTGTTGAATGAAGATAATACTTCTTTCATAACAAATTAAATGCTTTATTTTAATATCTTTATGCTTTGTTTCAGACTGAAAAGTATGTGCTTCTCCCTACATAACACAAAGAGGTTATTGCTGTTGCTGCTGTTCACTTGCTAAGCCTTATCTGACTCTCTGAGACTTCATGGACTGCAGCATGCCAGGCTTCTGTGCCTTTCAGGATCTCCAGGAGTTTGCTCAGATCATAATGAGGTTATGGAGAGACTTAAATATGTAATAATCACTATATTTTGTCTTTAGTATTGGCTTTTGAAATTTATAAAGACTTTTTTACACTTTGAGTAAAACTGCATTTTATTTATTCATATTGGAGTGGAGTGTCAGTCGCATAGTCGTGTCTGAATTTTTGCGATGCCATGGACTGTAGCCCGCCAGGTTCCTCCGTCCACAGGGTGTTCCAGGCAAGAATACTGGAGTGGGTTGCCATTTCCTTCTCTAGGGAATCTTTTCAACCCAGAAATAGAACCAAGGTCTCCTGCACTGTATGCAGACTCTTTACTTACATTAATAGACTTTAAAAAATAGTCCTAAGTTTAGAGAAAACTTGAGTGGAATACCTTTGTGTTGTTGTTTCTTTAATTTCTCCCAGTACTTTTTAATGTAGAGCTTTGTAGTCTTCTATACAATGATCTTGCCCATTTAAAAATTATTCCTGTGAATTTGATATTTTTATTTTTATATCTAAGATTTTTGATCAATGAATGCAACTTCAAGTCCAATATAGATAAATTTGAAATGAATCTTCAAAGTTATTTAATTTTATAACTGTGATTAACTTGCTGTCTTTCCTCAGTATGAAATAGCAACATATAACTAGTGACACAAACAGTTAAAACATGAACAGGCAAGACCACCAAGGAAGCTGGGATAACCAGCTGACTACTCAACACTGCCCTCAGCCACAAGCATGATCACCTAATTCTGAGTCACTCTTACATATGTCCACTCATTAGGGCCCTCCTTCTTCAGTGGTGCCCATTTTAAAAGAAAAAATTTAGTATTTTACTTTTTTTCACAAAATGTAAAACAGAAGCAGACATCATTCTTTTCTAGAAGAGGTGAAGGCCCTAGAAAGTTTTCATGAAATTCTCTTATGAAATGTTGAAAAGCATAGCCATACCTTTTCTTAGCAT